ATGCGCGCTTCAAGGCCCACGTTGCCGCACAGATAAATGTTATAACAGCAGTTAGGATCTTGGCTGACAACTGGCTCAAAGAATTTTCCGTGACTCGACAGGGCGCCTGCCGTGTAAAGCCTTTTCCAAGGAGGGTACCCCTATAACGCCCTATTGAGCAACAACTTTACGTCCCAAACGCCTTCCTTGCCCGCCCGCCCACAAACGGACGACCGTTTCTGACGCTCGTATTCAGTCATTTGCTGAGCCAAGGTTCATGAACGACAGCGGATGCAATGAAGCGCCGTGGATGCCGTATGCGTCATACATATGGGTGCACATATGCAGCCGTATCTCGGCACGCTACACGTGATTATTTAGGATGCCTACGGAAAACTCGTCCGAAATCGATTTACAAGTCACTGAGAACGGAGGCTTTTTCTTCGCCGGATTTTGACCGTTTCACTCCGTTCTTTCGCCATTTCCCCACTATACAGCGCCCTACTAGCATTTTAGGCTAAGTAGGAAACCATTCGTGCCACATTGCCTTAACACTACTTGAACGCGCGGTGTTTTGCGCGCGATCTCCCGTTTTGACTTCCTGCGTCTCCGCGCGCGTGTATTGAATGCAATACACGAACGCGCGAAACGGGAGTCTTTGTGCCGCATACCCCTTTACACGCTCATTCTGGTCACTTTTGCGCTCATTTCTACATTGTTCAGTATGAATAATGACTTCTTTTTGCTGCATAGATGGATCCTGGAACACCGATAGAAAATTTTAACACTTATTGCGGTTGGCCCATTCAAGCTAAATTGGGTTTTTTGGTCACATCAATTTTTCTATATGGAAAACCACGGACAATTTTCCACAATATGCTCAAACTCTGATAAACAATGCTGAGTTGATAGATAATTTTCCTGCCTCTATAACTGATTAGGTATGTTGTTCCCTACCATTCATGTTCTTCGTTCGTGGATTTTTATTCCTCAAAGCCATTCGGAAAGTTCCGGCGCGTCGCTACAGGTGGGCATCTGCTTGCCTGCGGACCCATGCCAGCTAGCGTCCTTGGGATTCTTCACTCGATACGGACGGTCGATTGGTTCGATATTGACCAACGGAAGTAATTCTAAAGACCTCTGACCGATTTCTCTACCCCTGCACTGACTCTCATTTGAACATGGTGATTCCCGTAAGCTTCAGTCTGACAGAATAGGCTTTAGGTCCGATTTCTTGATCCCTGTTGCGAGGTCGAAACTGAAATCTTCAAAATCGCCTTGAAGTATTTACTACAGTATTCCTACGAACGTAGCCTTTTAGCCAGTACTACTTACCCAGCTGGGGGGAACCCCCCATGCGGTTCTAGCTTTTTAACTTAGGGGATAAGATGGAGGGCGTGTCGAACAATGCTCAATTCGTAAAACCTACACTCCATTTTTATCACTGAAATACTAATGGAAAAAGAAACTTGAAGGAAACTAGGAATACTATTCTGTAGGGCAAGGAGCTCTCTGCCAAGTGGTATAAAACTCAGTGGAGAAACTCTTCTTCTTCAGCGCGATATTTTGAGTGAGAAAAAAAAAAACGCCATTACTTCATGGGGCGACCCAATATTATTATCATAACGACTTAAACACTATCAAATGTATTGTGAATTAACATTTGTAATTATCACTAGAAGTCTTACTACCATTGCAGTGATGCGGAGCAATCATAAGAAGTGCAATTATTTGATGTTATTTTTTAATGCTAATGAATTACCCCAATGAGCAGCTTATTTCACGCCAATCAAGCAACTAAGCATGAGTTAAAGCTCATTGAACTGATACTGCAGTGAGAGTGGTGCAATTCGCGACCTATTATCCACGAAAAAACCGACCAACAAAACGTGAATTGTGGGCAATACACAAACGCGAGAAACGGGAGTATGCGCGTGTATTGATATCAATTCACGCGGCGTTCAACGTGTGAAAAAAACAAGCAGAGCAACGGCTTTGGACTAGCATGACACCACTCACTACTTGCCTGACAACGCCCAAGCGTTCTCAGGCGAACTAGAGTACAAACCCATTCAATAATATCACTAACTCCACAACATCACAGTCTCCATTATTCCCTTCTCATCCATACATATTGCTTCGATCGCTAATGAACAAAGATAAACAGTGAAGAAACAAAATGGTTAGTTCTGTCAGTGGCAACCAGGTTGAGAGCTGAGTTACCAGCACACGTAAAACGATTCAGAAAACTCTACTCTTCCCATTCTTCATGTCGCTCTTTGTTGTTTCCCTACACCCTGTAAGCGTTTTCGATCTCCACAATGACATGCCGGATCAGCTGATAGTAAACTCAGAGTTTCCTGTTCATCGGCAGTCTGGGACCTAGTCGATGATCTGGGATGGCTTACGTCACGGTTTTATGGAAGGGGTTCAATGGAAGATAGTATTTATGGTGCCTGTCTCCCCCATGGACGCACCTTTTCTCATAGCAAGGTCGAGAACAGTTGCTTCTCTGCCTGTTTTCACTACATTCTCTAGATAGTCTCTCCATAGGCTGTCAGGACATAGGTAATCACATCAGCACAAACAATAGGTTGCCTCCAAACAAAGCCGACATGATGTTGCATTTGTTTAGCTGCCTTATGCACACTCGTAACACATAATTCAGTGGCGACCGCTGGATAAATGCCCATCAGGCTACCTTCAGAATACTCATGAGGGAGGAAACAAGCTTCGTGGTGGAAATCTATAAAAGCTATAGCACAAAAGTGAGATTCGTTTTTGTGCGTGCTTCCGGGTGTGCCAATAACGGGTTAAAAATGTACTGCGAACTGCATTGCATTCGTATACGGCTAGCTCTTTTTCACAATCTCAAAAACGAGCAGAAGAAAAATCAACCTCATTTCTGTAGCCCATGTAGTAACCCTCTCTCACCTCATAAAATAGCGCCATGTATTGTTTCATATAGGATTTAAAAGCAGCCCATAAGGGTTTGACCTGCATATTCTGTGAAATGGGATAGTTTAGCAGGCTTCCCCAGTGTTTTTATCCTCTTACACGAACCTGTAAATAATTTCGTAGGGAATTCCAGCACAAGAAGGATGAGGGTACGTGGCGATTCTGTCACGAGTCGCCGCGTGGTTGGCGTGACCTACGACACCGCAGGTTTGCGTACGAGCTGGCTTGTGTCTCATGTCTCGATGTCTCTCATGGTTATGTGGCGATTCTATCGTAGGCCGCCGCGTGGTGGGCGTGGCCTAGCAGATCAGTGACTTCAACAATAACTTGTGCAGATACGGAGGAGCAACTCTGTCACCGGCGCGACTCGCCGCGAGCGACAAACAGTGCGCCTCTTGTTAGCTCACGATAGCATTGCCCGTCTCCCGAAGGATCTCACAGGTAGTGAAGTTTTGTAACATCTCTAGACACTGCGATTTTTCTCGTATTAGTGGAGAAGAACCAAATTTGGAACTCATTTGCATTGTACATGTAAAAAAGAAGATACAGAGCGGTTCAGTTCCCACGCCTGATGAAATCAGTCACTCATTTTGCTCTAGCAGCTGAATCCCGCAGAAAGATCAGCAAATAAGTGCAAGTTAGAGCAACTTTTATTTTATCGTTAGAACCCGTAGCAACGCATCACTAATTACTCAATAAGCTATTTCAAAACCTTTATCTAAGGTACTAAAGTTCTTCCTCACCTGTTTTCGGAGAGATGGAAATACTGCGCTGACGTAGTCGGATTTGCTATTCGCATATTCACATTCTCCCCATCAACTGGTACTTGATCTTCTCGAGAATCACATAGTTGCAGGAATCTTAAGAAATAAGTCGCGATGTTTGAGGGGGGGGGGGGGCGCGGGAGAAAGCTTCTGCGAGAAGAGCTATCTACTCACCTTTCCATCGGCACGTGCTTGTGGTTCGGGGACCGCCTCCATCGAGTACCATGAGCGTAAAAAGCAATGTCAAACCTGCGACTGTGTCAATCCATTTACCTGCAATTCAACTTTAGGTCAATTTCTACGAATGATGGGGCGAATTTTTACAGGGCTTCGCTTATAGGGAGAAATCACAAGGATCGGTTCGTCAAGGAGTATTCACTATCAAAGCAAGGCTGTAGGATATTAAAGTTCTGTGAAGGAGATTCGGGGACTGCACTGTGAGAATTATGCGAGAAATTCTCAAGGTCCAGTCCATTCTCGTATGAGCCCCTTCACCGCCCCACCCCCCCCCCCCCCCCTCCCCTCCGCCCCCCCCCCCCGAACCCCCCCCCCCCCCCCCCCCGGGGTGGGGGGCCCCCCGCCGTCTAAATTTATCCAACTTGACCACTCTCAGGAACTTTTTTTGTTGTTCCTGAAAATATCCGATCTCGTCCGAACGTGGAAGGCGTAAGGTGGGAGCGGGGGAGCGTTGTCAAAACAGCTACTTACACAGATTTTGACCATCGGACAATGATAGGACGTGTAGGTATCTAGAAGAATGTTTGTTGTCATGGCGTGAGGTGCACGGTTCGTCAATTGGCCCCAGCGGGACTTTAACCCGCAGCTTGCTTTCCGGAAATGTTCGTGGCTGGAACAGAGACTGAACGTTGTGATAAAAGCCGTCAAGTATGAGAAGGTAAGAGGCAAACTAGGTGGCGTGATGGATAGGCACTTGCCAAAAAAGATATGGGGGTTGCGGGGTTTATCCCTCAGAGGTACAAGCTTTTAGCGCTGCAGGGGGGGGGGTTTCAGAATTTGTGCAATGACATTCGGAGCGCAAAACTGCGGAGTTGAGCGGCAGCTAATATAGTAAAAACGAGTCCCAAAGTAGTTCTACAGCGCCAGGCAACTATGAAACGGGGAAAAACCTAAAAAAGTCCCATGGAGTAAACTCTGGCGGCTCGGATAAATTGTTCTTGAGGGCGAATATGACCCCCTCCCAGCGACGAAGTACCCCTCCCCACCCGTGGACTTCTCCCAACAGTGCTCCACCTTGCATGGGGTAGGTATCACGAGTGCGGATTGCACCCCATAGTGCAACTAATTGTAAGCTAAAACGATAAGGAATAGCAGAATGACTGCAAAACCTCCGCAATCACTTCTAATCATATTCTGGAGCAGCACTCCCAACATGTCACTAGAACTTACTTTCCGCACTAGCCAAAAAGGTATCGATAATGATCTGGGCACCGTTGAAGAAATCTCCAAACTGAGCTTCCCATACACATAACCGTCGTGGATGATCGAGGGAGAAGCCGAACTCATAACCAAGGACAGCTTCTTCGGACAGGATGTTATTCGCTATCTGAACTTCTCAATTCAAATGTATTAGAAGTGAACTTTGAAACTGAAATGTATTAGAAGTGAACTTTGAAACTGGAAAACCTTGCAAGGGGAATCTTCGAAATTGTGAATTCGAGAGGAGCAGTTACTTCTTTCGATGGGTGAGGTTACCGTAGTTTCGCGGCAAAGATGGAGGGTCAGGGACTAGTATTAGTTACTTTTGGGAACAAGAAAAGAAAACAATAACGACTAACACGAGATCCCTCACTCTCAGGCTTCCAAACTTGCAAACATGACCGTGAACGGTGATCCCATAATGGCTGGATGACCTGACCGCAATTGACACATACCCTGTACTCAGTAGAAGGGTTTCTGAAGTCCCCGGATCTATAGTTTATGTCATTGCAACCTGTCGGAGTCGCTCAGCGGTTCCCACCTGCGGCGCTTCCACCAGTGGTTGATTTCTTCCTAAATCGATCTCTACCCGATCGCCATTGGTAGAGCAAGGCAGCCGGACGCGGGCTCGAACCGCGCCGCTCACGCCGCCCCCGACGAATGGCAATGTTACAAACTATAATGCATCAACCTCGCAATTGGTACCACCTCATCGACACGCGACGCGTTTATGAAAACATGTACCTGAAGCCTTGTCACTTCCCTGAAGTGCAAGGTGGGTGCCTTATTATCCCAACGCGAGCCATCGACGGACAGGGCCATAGTAATGTCTACCCTTTCATCAGCTGATGCAAGTAAACCATGTACACTTATTGGACGGATGATTGATGCACACGGTCAACGTTATTTGAGGAAGAGAGGTGGTCCATCCCGCTCATTCTTGAAAATTTTCTCAAAAGTCGCAACTTTCTTTTTCTTAAATTTTTCGCAAAACGAATTTCTCTTCAAGGGTTGCAGTGGAACGGAAAATAGCTCACCTCAAGAAATCCCTTTTGATCATCAGTGATGAAGTTGAGAGGTATATGAGTCAGATCAGATTTATTGTCCACCAACATAGCATGCCTCAAAAACTCATTTCATGATGAGCGAACTTCAATATCAGTGGAACATATGGAAGCAGATACTCTACGATAAATAAAAGTCGCTACTACTACAATGTACAGTAGGTAAACTGACTATTCTGCTCATTACCTTTTTGTTACGGGCATCAGGTTAGATTAGTTGCTTGAGAGCCTGAAAAGCGCTCACTTATTGGGTCGATTTTCACCCGGTCTCTCTGACTTCCACAATCAGTCTCTCTGTAAGCCTGTCAGCCTTTGCGTTCCAAAGCGCTACTGTCAAGTTTGAAGCAACAAAGGGCTATATTGTGCGTGCTCAAGAGACTGTTGACGGTACCGCGTATTGCCTTTAGTGCGCAACAACAATCTCTTCTAAGCGACAGCAACGAGGTGCACGGTGACACGAAGACAACTTCGTACTTCGTCTAAGGGGCAGCAGAAGGCTGCACACAAATCAGAAGATGCAACAATGTCCCTGAAAAAGCTCCAATGGTAACAAAACTCGAGATTCCTTTCAAGAAGAAAAGGGCAGAAAAAAGCAGACAAGTCTGGCGTGGAACAAGAGGATGACGAATGCTGATGCTCCGATTTTTCATAAGGCAGCTTCTGATCTCACAAAACTTCCACCTCTTGATATGCCCCTAACCCTGTGTACCTCCATGGGAACTACACTTCACCAAAGAGGCAACGTAGGCACTGCAAACCAAAGCGAACACACAACGTGTGACATCGAAGGTAACAGGTGACAAAAAGGTATAGGTACAGAGAACTGATTTTTGCCTTCATAGTTGAGTAATTCAATTATAATGTGACGAAACAACCTACCGAAAACTGAACGTTGCTCGACCGACATCTTGCCCACTGATCCGGACGTCATTTCCTTCTAACAACAGCGATCCGAAAGCCAGTGACTAAACAGAGCATTCCTATAAATTATGAACAAATACGACCTTTTTTCCACTGTCAGAACTAGTTTGTTGTTGTTTTTAACTTGATTGTTTTTGTTTGTTTGTTTTTATTTCAAAGTACATACAGCCATGTATAACCAGAAATAAATAAATAACCTGAAGTTTAGGTGAGGCGATCCACTCACACAAGATGAGAAACCTAGATCACGTCCCTGCATCGTTTTCCATTATTCGGTGGGTACAAGGAGAGGCGCCAAAGATTAATTTTAAGCTAAAGTTCCATGAGAAGTTGACACCATTCCCTTAGTGAGTGGAGACTGCCTTCATACAACACTATTCTTCGGCGACTCAGTCCGCCTGCGCTCTAGGGCTGGACCTTGATTAGGAGAACGGACATAGGTGCGGCTGACTGGCCTACCGTCCTCCTCCTCCTCCTTTCCCACCCCCCCCCCCCTCTGGCAACCACGTTGGCGCAATGGCAATGTTTCCGTTCGAATCACAAATATAAGCGACCTCTTTTTGACTGGAAGCACACGCTACAGACACGGATTTTCTTGAGCACGCGGTCTACTGCAAGCCAGCGACAAGACGTTAACTTTTTGCAGGGCAAGCCTGCAATTTCTACAGAACTATAACCAGTCTCTACTTAGTGTTCTGATCGCATGCAAGGAATCCATGTCAAGCACTCACTTTGAAGGACTTAAAGGTAGTTGGCACGATAATTTGGTACTCGGTCTAAAATGGTAGTAGGGGTGCCATATAGTGGGAGGGGGGGAAATGGCGAAAAAGCGAAGTGAAACGGTCAAAAACCTGCAAAGAAAAGCCTTCATGACCCAAGAAACAATTTCGGACGAGTTTCCCGTAGGCATCTTGCCAATAACCGCTACGGTAATATGGCTGCATGTGTGCACACATATATCCACGCGGCACCGCAGCCGCTTCATACCAATCCCTTCGCTTCATAATTTGCTTAGCAAATGAAGCAATACGAGCATCAGGAACGGTCGTCCATTTGTGGGCGGGCGGGCGTTCGGGTCGGTATGTTGTAGCTTGATAGGGCCCTTATAAGGGTACCTTTCTTGGAAAAGGCGCTACGCAGCGCCTGCTCAGGGTCGCGGAATTCCGTCCTGCCAGGCGTATTAATCCTACTCGGTTTTAGGGATAAATATCGTGCCAACTGCCTTAAGCTGTTGTCGTAGAGGGCAGAATCATCAATTCATCTGGCTATCGGGAAACTTCCAAATCACTGAGAAAAAAATATTGAGACCACAACTATACCAACCTCGGCTGTACCCCAGTCTATACCCTGACCAGCGACCATCTTTTGGATTCGTGCTTCACAGTGCGTCTTCTGGAGATGAGGGTGTACGTTCTGAAATACATCGTAACATTCTACTGACCAACATATTAGACAGTATTTTAATGCAGCTGCGTGGCAACAGCCGAACATATGTGATCATACTGCTGGCATTCCTTGATAGAGACAACGAATCTTTTACGGCATCAAGATTATGGACCTTTCATGGGTTCTACGTGAGCGTGATGCAAAGTGTTCTCTATTTTGAAGTGATTCCAATATTTTGTTCATATCATGGAGTTGTTTTAAAATCTATGTGTAATATATTTCTCATAGTGGTCTTCCGAGGAGTAATTTAGTTCCCGTTTCGTCTAGTTTTTACACCTTTCTCGCAACTCACCCTGAAGAGTCGCTTCTAGAGCACGCCATCGTTGTGTTGATCACAACGGGAAGGTTGTATTTGACCGCGAGGGAGGGGGGGTATTTGGTTGGTCTAAGAAATTTTTTTTGATAGTTGATTTCTCTTGTTTCACGGACGCTATAAAGGGGGGTCGTATTTGGTTGTTGTTGGGAGAGGGACTGCCAAAGATCTATACAACTACTATTTCCGATAGTTGAAAATGATAGTTAAATCCTGACGACCTCCCCCCCCCACTCGACGGAAAATTCTTGGCTGAAAAACTGGAAATTTTTCGGGAAAAAATGGAAAAAGTGGTAGGAAGGTTGGGAAAATCTAGGAAAGTGGTGTAGCATGGGGAGGGCGGGTCGTAGAGGATGGAATTAGAGGGGTCGTATTTTTCAGGAAATGATCACAACGCGATGGCGTGCCCTGGTCGCTTCTTCTCAAAGGCAGTGCGAACGATACCTGTGGGCGGACGGTTGCTGCTAACATCATTGGTGGAAGGGCAGGGGCAACGCCAAACGCCTTAGCCCCTGCCACCCACAACATTAGCAGCAACCAGCTCGCTTCTAGCCATCGTGTCCACATGGTACTAGGAGACCTCAAGGCACTGCTGTCAATAAACCTTCGATACTTCATGCCAGAATCCGAAGCCTAATTTGTCACATGATCTGCTTACATATTATAATACAACTTTTATCCGTAGAATGAATAACTCACAAAACCTTCCGGTACTCTAACGGATGCAGCTCCAATGTATTTCAGTAGATTCGTATCGCAACCAGTGTCCCATTTTTGTGCTTCGGCTGGGGCCTGTACAAACCCTTTCCAGTAGCCTTCCAAATGTTTTGCTCTGAAATTGAGTAAAACCCAAGATACCAAGGATAAGCGAGCATCGTAGGACGAGCTGCTTCCCGAGACATGGTGCAATTTGGCAGCAGGACTAACTCACAGTGATGACTTTTATACCACGATGTGATACAAGAGAGATTTTCAGTTACAAAACCACCTCTACCTTTTCGTCGCAACCTTTTTTGAGCCACTCCCCCCTCCGAATATCCGAGCTCAATCATACGAATCTGGGGACGTAGAATGTTTTGCTTCATGGCGCCTTTATACCGGTACCGATGTGGTCCATGAATTTCAATGCTGGAGGGAGTGCAGTAGCTTCATAGTTTCATATGCCCGTTTACTAAGCGCATGTGAAGGAGAAGGCCTTTTTCGGAGGCGTCGAACCTTTCAGTCATCAGTAACTGGTCGATTAAATTCAAGGGTGAGCACACTGGTGTGCATGTGCTTTTCAGCTGTAGGCGCAATGCTGGTTCACGTCAGTTGGAATACCATTACGACTCCAAATGCAAGGCAACATCGTGGCGCAAGCTGAGAAGAGTTGAACACGCAGAAGGTCCTTGCCCTTTCAATAGCTTGCTAACCTCTACGCTACCCTTAGCGAGTAAGCAGCGAAATCCAGAGTTCCGCACACAAAAGTCTAACATAATTTTGGATCCAAGCCAGGGATCCAAAAAAGAACGGTTAGGGAGAATGTCTGTCAATTACGCCTGAGTTAACTCCCTGTGTAATGCCAGCCTTCCCAACGGCACTCTGAAATCGGTGCGAAAGTTTCTTGTGTACTCACACGGGTGGTGTTGCATCAATAGCTTTGAAAGACTCCATGAGCTTAGCAGTATGCGCATCCTTCTCTTGCTTAACTTCGTCTTCGGTGAGCAGACCTTGATCTATGAGCTCGTCAGCGTACTGTCTTGGCACCGAATCACGGCTCTCGATTACCTACAAAAACCTTTACGATCATCAGCCAAGTACTTGAAGTTAGAATGTGAAGGTTACATCAGTAAATCCGATATAAATTAGTCTCCATCTGCCCCTTCATGCCCACTTCAAAAATGTCCAAACCCACCCTATATATGATCGGCTGCGTAAATGACGGATCATCCAACTCATTGTGTCCCCAGCGACGATAACAAATCATATTAATAAATATGTCTTTGCGGAACTTCTGTCGATATGCCATCGCAAGTCGTGTGGCTTTAACGACATCCTGAATAGAATAGTTAAGAATGCGCTAGTTTACAATAACTATAAGTGTCAAAAGTTCAAAAACAGTTGAGAACGAGAGCCTTACCTCAGGATGATCACCATTAACATGGATGACCGGACATTCGAATGCCTTAGCAATATCTGGAAAGAAAATGTCAATCACGTTGCTCCAGAAAGCCCACAAATAAAAGTAGCACGTTCGCTTTGATTTTTGGTATTTTATTGTTCCCGAGTATTACGGTTGCTGTAACGAAAATAAGCACAGGTTAGGGGTAGTTACGTTTTATTCGAATGCGTAACTGAGTGTTAAGATATCACGAAGTTCAGAATATGGCACGGATATTTCGCCGCACATGTCCGTACTGCCAGATGTGATCAGTGGAGCTTCAGTCATGCCTCTGCACATAAACGGATCGGGGAGGCGATCCCGAGACCTGTGTCGGCGACGGAAGGGGAGCATTCTATACTTTCCCTGCTTCGCTAGTCCCGGTTTGCAAGTCTAAGGCTGCGTTTATACTTTTCGGCAGCGTGCGCTAGCGTTTCCAGCGTTCGGCAGCGGCACTGGCAAAGAAAGGATCCTACCTTAAATATAGATCGTGGCGGCTATGTCTGGTGGTGTGTTGTTTGTTGTGTGGTGTGTGTGTGTGTGTGTGTGTGTGTGTGGTGTGTGTGTGTGTGTGTGCGCGTCTGTCTGTCTGTCACGAAATTCATAGCACCTGAAGAAGAGCTTGGCGGGGTCGGGTCAGGGTGGGGATGGATAGAGCATGGGACAAAACCTAAATAGCACCCATGACCCATGGTAAGCCCCGCCCACAGTGGGCGGGGCGTGCGCTCATTTATAGTGGATGTCACTGAAAAAAAGTCATAACTCGGTTCCAGAGCAGTCCCGAGATGAGGAAACAGTGCAGTAAAGTTAACAAGAGGCCTGACCGACCAAACAGAGGAGATACACTTGAAATGGGAGGGGCGCACTTGAGTATGGCGGCTGTGCTTCTTCACCGTGCGTCACTTCGAAAAATCCCCAATAACTTTGGCTACAAAGCACTTTCGAGAGACTGCGAGAAAAGTTGAACTAGGTTAGCTACTGTGGTGGCATCGTTCAAATTGAGGAGGAGAACACCAGAAATTGGCGGGGCGTACTTGAGATGCTTCGCGTCACTAAAGCGTCGGTAACTTTCGCGTCCCGAAAATAGTTTAGGCGGATCTCAAAGGCAGAAAGTCCATGACGAAGATTAACGTCTGGCAAGAGTCCACCATGTTTACGGCGTGGTGAGGCCCGCCTACAGTGGGCGGGGCGTGCATTTGAGCACGAGGAACAGTATAAAAAGTCGTAGTTTGGTCCTAAAGCACTAACAAAAGTGGCAAAAAAATGGAATTATAGGCCCTCGACCGATCACACCAGGAAGTGTGTGATGCACTTGCATTGGAGCTAGGAGCGTGCGCCGAGGTGGGCGGAGCCAACCTAAAAAATTCGTAAAACCGCTTCCAGAGCACTCCAGACACCGGGAAAAAATGTTCAAGATCAGCGAGGATCTTCGGTTGAGAAGCGCGAGGCGCTCGCATTGTGGGCGGAGCGTGCGCCGAAGGTGGGCGGAGCCAAGTGAATAAAATCCGTACAACGCCTCGCAAGCACTCCAGACACCAGGAAAAAATAGTTGAAGAGGGTCTTCGGTTAAGAACCGCGAGGCATACGTTGTGGGCGGGACGTGCGGCGAGGTGGGCGGAGCCAAATCTGAAAAAAATCCTAAAACTATTTTTAGAACACTCAGACTACCAAATACGGTTAGTTGGAGATAAGCGAGGGTCGTCATCGCCGGTTCATAAGCGTAAGGCAAACATCCGCTGTGGCGGAGCGCGCGGCGGAGATTGAGGGCGGCCAGGTTTTTGAAAAATCCGGAAAGGTTTCGAGCGTGGCATGCCAGCTAAGCTATAAGGTGCTCTTCAAGCGCATTCAAGAGCATCCAGCCTCCTCTCTTGTTGATTACGGCCGGCTTTGCTGGGGAGTGGTGCCATCGCCGCCTGTCGTGCATTCGTATGATCTAATGCCTCGGATTCTAATACCGGCTTTTTCTCCTCATCTGTCCACTTGATCAACGCCTCCTTTTCACCTATCTCTACCCATAATAGTTGTCTCTTGTGTGGTGCAATATAATGAAACTCTTTCCAGTCCTTTATTCAGACGACGTTTCGGGCCGTAAGCCCTTCTTCAGGTCTACAAACATAAATTATATTGTCTACACCAACATCATCTAACTACATACATACATAACAGAAATCCAAAAGAGGGAACAGTCAATTAACAACTGACCGGATTCCTATGGAAAGGAGGGTCTGGGGTAGGAGTGGGTGCGGGAGTTTGCTGCAAGATGGTCTTTGATATAAGGCAGACAGTGACACGAAACATCGACTCACCTCCCCAGCTGTCCTTCCGTCTCTAGAAATGGGACAGCCAGTTCGGCGAAGCAGGGATGAGATGGTGATAAGTGATACCCTGTCATTTGTCATATGTCACGTATCATCAGTTATGACATATCACGGTGCAGCAATTAGCTCCATCGTCCTTCTTAACTCCTCCCTGTTGTTAATCGGTGGGTTCCTCCTTCGAATCTCCAACGCTTCTTTGATCTTCCTCTCCACCGGGTCGCTAATGTTCCTGTGGATTACGCGCACCTTGAGTTCAGGCGCGCTTTCATTCGTGTGGCGTGAGGAACGATGTTTCGAGAAGGGATTATCCGGATAACTTGCTGGATTCGGCATAGCCCTTACATGTTCATCTAGTTAGGGCGTTGAGTTTTTGCGTTCGTCAATGTGAATTCTGTAACATGCAGGCGGCACTTCGTACTTCGTAAACGGTGTTCATGCAAAAGGCAGATTTTGCGGTTTTCTTCCTTTTTTCTTCGGTCCGTAAGCACAGTTCTCGCGGCCTACATCGGCTTTCGTATACTCTCGTGACGACGTAGGAGACGACGTAATGTGTTATGGCGTGTGTTCGATAGAGATCAGGCGAACTGGCATCCCTGAACTCCTTATAACACGATTGACGTCCTTCGCAAAGGAGTCTGATAGATACGGGAGTATCAGTGGAATGGCATCTGGTACCTGATATGGGCGCCAACAATTTACGTGTCCTCTTCCATATCCATTCTCGTGAAGTATACGCGTCACGGTGTCTGTCACTACAGGAACATTAGTGGACGTCAACCTCCGAGCTGTCGTCAAGGCATTCTGAACTATATTCCTCTTCATAAAAAGAGGGTGGCAGCTTCTCGAGTGTATTAGGATGTTCTTCGAAGCGGGTTTCTTATGCCACATGGAAAGTACATTTCCTGCCGACAGTTTCACTTTGGTGTTCAAGAACGGAAGGAAACCGTCGTGTTCAGGTTCCTCGACTGTCAGTGCAATAGTTGAGTGCACTGAGTTTAGCTTCAAGAAGGTTTGACGTAGAACGAAGGTTAGACCTGAAGAAGGGCTTACAGCCCGAAACGTCGTCTGAATAAAGGACTGGAAAGAGTTTCATTATATGCACTACACAGAAAACATATGAATCAATGAAACTCAGGAAACCTCTCTGATATGCATCCAGTAATATTGTTGACGAATAGCCTGTTGAAATTAATAATTAAATAAAAATAGCCGGATGCCTGTTTTTTGTAGCAAGCTTTCAAAGAGAGTGCGCGCCGGGTCTGTTAATATTAGATGCTAGCGTCACCAAGAGCGTACGTCTAGCGTAAATCGCTAGAGGTATTTCTTGTCGTTACGTCTAGCGAGCGAGTGGCAAGGAAAGCAGAGTATCGATTATAGCATCTTCTAGTGTATATATTGTGTTATGGATGTTGATGGCAGTTATATGGGTTTTTGGTGTTTATCATAGATATGGTGCGTTTTCTCTAGAGGGTAGGTCGATCCAAGGGGTTGCTCCCTTCTGACCACCCCACTTGCTTTTGCGGAACTTTTGATATGTGTTTTTCAATGTTTTGCGTTTTTGGTCTGTTTACGCTGAAGCCTCGCCGTTCGATTAGGCTCCGCCCATCTCCGAAGAGATTCCACTCACACTTTTCTGATGAATGGTTGAAGGAACGGTTAGTATATGAGTCTGCGGCTTCATGCTATGGTCTCGTCCGCCACTCCAACAAACTTTGCCTATTTATTGTGTTCCGTAGCGATTCGGCACTGAATTTCTCTAGCAGCGCGTTAAACCTAAAACCGAATCGCCAGCGCAGAAACCAAAACGACATACTTGCGTGTTATGAGCGCAAATTCAATGTCTCGCTTGTGAAAATGGGACTGGCGAGCTGTTTTTACTAAAGTGGGTGTCCTGCCTCCAGCGGAGCAGTAAAGTCTCCACAGGTCATGTTGACATTAATTAAACACAAACGTCTCCATAAGGCTGGGATTCCTCTATTCCAGACCTACCAGTGCAATGCAACGTCGATCGTCCTATGTGTGCTTCGGCAGTGAAGGCCACCTGATTGTTCGTGACCAGGTGAATGGAGCCTCCAAGACGAAAATGTGGCACTTGACCGAGCGAAATGGATTCCCAAACAATACCCTACAGCAAGAAATTAATGAGGAATTATCAAATTGCTGGAAACAGTTGGTATGAAATACAACAGACCTGTCCGGTAAAAGCACCATCACCGTGTACAAGCACAGCCAGCACACCATCTCCAGTCCTTGCAGCTCGATCTGTCGAGTAGTCTCCAACTCCGAGTGACCTGAAATTTACTTATAAATATGAACCTCAATGAAGATCTCTCGAAAAGTAGGGCGGAGGACCTTATACTGCTCAAAACAATAGGGAAGCGCTAACGCACGGCAAACACTGTTGGCAGCAAAGGTGCCAGGCATACGCCATGTGGCAAAACGCTGCATTGAACTGATGTAAGAGTGCGTTCGTACCTTGCATCAGTGTTTTTAGGGTATGGCACGTTTAGAGAAACGCGACTAGTAGTTCAAAACGCTGCTGTTCGCTCTCAAAGCTGGCGCAAAGTATACACTCTGACGATGACCAGAACATACTCGGTGGTGACGAAACGAGATTATCAAGGTAAGGTGCGAGAGGCTCGCCTTATAGCGACCCGCAGAAAGTAGCAATTAGCTATAGTCGACTTGAAATACTGCAGCCCTTCCAACTTACATTCCATTTCGTGGTGAGAAGGCCGAGCACGTAACACCAACGCTGGT